AGCCCAGCTGCGGCGCTGGGAACGTCGCGGCGGTGGCGACGCCGGCCCCGGTCTGGGGCCGAGCGCAGGGTTTTCTTGCTGTAGGAAGCCATTGTCCAAACCCGGTCTCGCTAAAAAACTAGCGTCGCTGTTAGCAGACGAGGTCCTTTCTTGGTAAACGTGATATCTTTAATTAGTCCGACTCGAACAGCTGGAAAAAGCAGTGAGACCGTCGGTCTTCAGCTCTTTGATGAAACCTGCTTGTGTCTGTTCGCGTCGATTGCGAGCCGCGTCGTTTTTCAGAGGTGCTTGGCAAACTTCTCGCTTGTGAGCGCGGGGTTTCTTTCTTTGTTGCTGCCGCTCGAATTTATTCTGGGCTGTCGCTGCGTTCCCGCAGGCTGCACCTTCAGATGCAGGGTGTTTAGTGATGGCCACTGAATATATAACGCTTGGTTATTAACCTCGCCTTGTTAAAGTGTAGCTCTCACAGTATCGAAGAGGTGCTTGGTTTCTCTTGTACTTGGGTTTTATCTCATCGTATTTTTAGTCTGTCAGAGAGGTCTTCAGTTGAGGTTGAAGCTAAGCAGTTTCCCTCGGTAAATTTAAAACGTCTTTGAGGCCAAGTATTTTTAACTGCTACAAGGCGCTATTGGAGTATTCAAGGAAATAGCAAGTAATTGCAATCAAATTCTGATCTCTGTTTTATGTTTATAGCAACACAGAAAAGTACTGGACAAAGGAAAACCTGATGACGTGATGCCTTCTGTTAAAGGTGTTCAGGTGGGTAAATAATACCTCAACCATTGTCTTGACTGGTGGAGTCCATTGTTAGTCCTCCTTGAGACTTGTCGGGCTTAATTTCTCTGCACTCGCGTAGTAAAGTACAGTGGGTGTGCTTTATACTCTATAGCTGCACAGCTTACTCGTTAATTTTAAGTATCGTGTTTTCATTCTCTGTATTGTGTTTTTTAGGAACGTCTGCCAACAGTGCCCTTATCTGGCATGTACAATAAGTCAGGGGGAAAAGTGAGACTGACCTTTAAACTAGAGCAAGATCAGCTATGGATTGGCACGAAAGGTAAGTGATTTAGACTTGACGTGAATAGTTAATGCTTGGAATCTGTGCACAGTAGGTGTCAATTTCCTTGACTCATGGAGTAACTCCAACTCCTTTAATCATTTAATCCTTAAAAGAAAAATGTTTTGCTTTCTTTTCTCAAATGCACTCATTTCAGGTGATGAAGTGTTACTAAATGTTGGATTTAGTTAGGCTCAGTTGTGCTATTGGAATTTACTGTCCTACTGTTTATGGTTCATGGTTGTAAGTTAATCACACTTGGCATTAAATAACCTTTTTGATCGTAAAACTGATTCACAAAATTAGTTAAATTACCACAACACACCGTGGCTCAGTAACTTCTGTTGTCTCAGGGAAGTCTCTCTTGGAGCTGGGAGCACATCAAGGAGTCTTGGCACCTGTCTCATCTTTTTACAGCTGAAATGAGTTGGGTGTCTTGTTTCAGTGCGGTACATGTGCAGTCTAGTTTAGGGATGCTGACATGTGCTCCTGTGCAGGGGATTCAACTTACAGTCTTGAGGGCTTGTGCCAGAGGAGACTGAAAGTACTGCAGTGGGAGCACACTGCCTGGAGGACATCTCAAAGGGAGCCTCCAAAGGGAGCTATGCCTTTTTCCCTTGGCTAGAACAGGGTGACGGGTGAAAAGAATGGAAAGACTTGCTTGTTGTTCCAGTAACAGCCTGGCCGTGTGAATGGAAGTCCCTTGGAACAGAGAACACCGGGGTAACTGCACACGAACAGCCTGCTGTCATGGCATGAGACTGCCCTGGATTGGAAGCAAAGTAAAGTTTCCCAAGCCTTGATTTCCCTCTTTATGGGGTTACATCATGGGCTACAATAGTCTCCCCTGACCCCTTCCTCCTAAAGCAGCTTAGGGCATCTCAGGAAGACCCCTTAATGTGTCCACAGCCTAAGAGAACTTGGACTCTGATGTTAACTCAGGATAAGTCTTACTTTGCTACATTATGACAATGATGAATAGATATCATTTAAGCTTTGCAAATATTAATTTCCATACTGCTAACATGTTTTTTCAGGCCCCACCAAAAATCACTGCGTTCTTTAGCCTGTCCTAGATTAGACAAAGTCAGTGGTGTTCAACTATTCACCCCTGCCAACCAGATTAGCAGCACAGGGCGCATCCACAAACCTAACCCCACGTAGGGTTGGTGCACAGGGTTGGGCCTTGGGCTGCTCTGGCCCCAGGCACCTAACTGTGCGTGCTTGAGGGCTCGCTGCAGGTCTGGAAATTTGGTGGTGGAAGAGCAGCAATTAACACTGTCACCACTCCCACACAGCAAACTTTTGGACCCATGGGGAGCTCTTTGGGCCGGATCTGGCCTGTAAGCCAAGGGTTAAGCATCCCTGGACTAGATGATCATAATAGTCTTTCCTGGCCTGAAAATCTGCAACAGCATCCATTCCAGGGACTCTGTTTCTCCTGAACTAAATGGCTGGGGTGATATTGTCCTGTTAGTACGGGCTGCTTGTTTGGAGCTGTCGAAACAGGGTTGTTTTCTGTTTCATTAGAGAGAGACACGATTCGAATTGTGTACCTTAGCGATTTGGATAATTGTTTCTTTCTCACTCTGGTAGGTTTTGAAGTGTGCTATTTCTAAAGCGATCTAGGGGAGAATACTTCTTTGGGCTGCACTTTTTTCACGTGTAAAGTGAAGATGATAGTGGTGACTGTGTGTCTTGAGGCATTGTGAGAATTCATGAATGTTTGGAGGGTTGTTGTATCCATGTTGGTCTAAGGACATGCTTAATGTTTGGAGGATTTTTATATAGGTACCAAGTAATTATTTGCTTAGTAAATGATCATCGGTTAGTCTGATTCCTATTGGTCTATGACAGCCAGACATAAGATTGTTACTTTATTAGTATTCAGAATGTAGATTCGCATTTTTGTCTCTTGTCTTTGTGAGGTAAAAACAAAGCACGTGTATGCTGCTGTGCTTCCTTATGTTTCCTTTGGAAGCAGTTGCTGCCTTTTGGGTTGCACTTAAAGGTTGCTCCTCATCTAGGGTTGTTGGTTGTAGCCGTGTTGGCCTAAGAACATAGGCAGACAAGGTTCTTTGGGTAGAGGTGATGATTATCTTTTATTAGACCAACTAAATAGTTGGAAAAACTGTTCTTTGCAAGATTTTGGGCACCAAACACCTTTCTTCAGGCATAGAAAGAGCGTCTCATCTAGGGTATACAATTGTACAGTGGCAAGTTCTGGTTTACTGTGTCCTGCACCCAAGGAAATGAATCAAGTGTGTCAGGTTTATGTGGGTGAAACGAGAGTTAGAGAGCTGTATGAGAATTAATATTTGCATATGTTAGAAGTAGAAGTCTAAAGGAAAAAGTGGGGATAAATGTCCTAGTTAAGAAACGAAAGAAATCCATAGTGGGTCATATTAGGCAGATAGCTGCGACTGGGGAATTAAGCTATCAAGTTCTGCTATGTCATTTTGAACATGCAGTAACTAGTTAATTCACCACAGCAAGAAGAATGGAATTAATGGCAAATTGTCTAGTAGTGACCAATCATCAGGATTTAATGGGAGGAGCTGCTGGCAAAAAAACCAGAACAGCAGCACATTAAATTATAGTTTCAATTTATCCCACAGGCAAGTTAACCCGAGTTTTTACTGATAGTTTTTTGGTCTTTTTTTTCTTTCACTTCTGCGCGCTCTCTAATATTTTTTGTAGTATCTTTGAGTACTTTCCTACAATAACAAATGCACGCTGTCCGATGATGGAGATGGGACTAGATCTTGATCGGGAGCTGTGTGTTTTATTTTCCTAGTCCGAGTGTTATCCGTTCTTGCAACTTCTGCAAGTTTTACTTCCCTAGGTTCCAATCCCACATGCAGACATGTCCACGCTGAGCTTTGCTACTGAGTGAAGTCTTGTTGAATTAAGTGGGGGGAGGGGGACGACACAGTTGTGAAGTTGAACAAGCGTGAAAATTTTGCAGTATTGGGGCCTGTGGCTGAAACAGATTTGGTCGTCTGCTATTTACAGAGGTTCTTGGCACAAATCGGTAACAACAAAGCTTAGGTGATGGCCTGACAGGGACTGGAGTTATTTTGCATGGTTGGTTTGCCGGATCCCAGATGAGTGAAATGTGGTTCATTGACTTCAGACAAGTAGGAATTCGGAGCTAGTCAAAGGGGGAAGGATTGCTGCAAGGTGGAGTCCTGGGGGCTGTGGGAGATGGCATTTGAAATGAACATGAAATGCTGCTGCATTATAGATTCAAATAATAATTGTAATTCATATTCAAATAGTATATTCAATTAGTAATTGTAGATATATATTCAATATAGTAATTGTAATTCATTTTGTTATAGAGAGAACAGAAAAATTACCCATGGGATCTATTAAAAATGTGGTGAGTGAACCTATTGAGGGACATGAGGATTATCACATGATGGTAAGTAATTCCTCTGCTGTCCTGATTACATGATACAAATACAATGACACGGGGATTTTACATTAGAATAACACCAAGATTGGCAGTTGTGCAGATTTCAGATGCCCCTGAAAGTCTGAATTTGAATATTGTCTGCTATTATAGCGTAAATATTTTTGTCAGGATATGCTGTGAAGGTCTGTTGTGTATACTGAACTGTTTTTTTACACATGCTTTAAAGCCATGTAAAGTCCCTAGACTAGAAATCTTAATACTGCTCTCAGAAATGTTTGAATATACAGGTTTTCCTAAATGGTATGTCATTTTTATACTTTATACCTGGGGACTTTGGGACAGACTTTCAAATAGGCTCAGACTGTCATATATGCAAGTGCTGAACTCTTATGAAAATATGGTTCATAATCCAACTCGGTCTTATGCATAAATAAGACCATTTTTCCTATTTTTTTTTCTTGACTGTTATGACACGTGTATCACTTGGGGTTGTGCCAGTAAGACACTTGTATGCTTCAGCGTTTATTCAGCTTGAATCTCTCGTTCATTGAGGACTTGCTCCTATTACAACGATCAAGTGAACTCTGTCCCCCGACTGTATTCTTAAAGCAAACATTCTCCAGCGTGGTACCTTTATCAGGAAAGTTTGTTTATTGGTGTTACAGTTGGTAGTATTTTCCATATCTGGTTTAGTGTTAATTCCTGTTGCATTCATCATATCTAATCAACCTGTTTTATTACGATATAAAAAACCTCATTAATTCTATTATAATTCTCTTCCCCATAGTTGAATCTCTGAATACTGGGGTAATAATAAAGTGATAAATGTCAGAAGATGGAAGTGCTGCTTCTACTGTGGTTTATGTCCAAAATTTCCTTCTGTTGGCATTACTGTGACAAAATTTTACTGTTGAAATGAGTCTCTCCAATTCTTGTTTTTGTGGGCGGAAGGGGGAAGTGCCATGACCCTGAAGTGATTCCCTCCAAAAGGAAGTTGTTTCAGTCCTTGTTCAAACATTTGGTTTGTGCTCACCCCCACAAAAGACTAGGCTCTTCAGATTACAACTCTAAAATATTACTCAAAAGGTTACCAAAAACAAGGCACTTTATAGTTCTCTTCTCCTGCTGATTGGAGTAGATGGATAACAGCACATAACACCTAAACGTAAACCTTTTAGAAAGTACTTAATGAAATTGCAGTGTAGCCATCTGCCTCTCCTTGACTGGCTTCTCAGCCATGTGCACTGTGTTATCCTGTCTAGAGTTGTATAGAGGCGTTAGGCTGCAAATTGTGCAGACTCTATCTTCCAGCCTGGGCATGTCTTATTCTGTGAAATTAGAACAGGTGTATATTATGGCTTCTGTATTCTTTTTAAAGAAAGATCTTGTAATTGGGATTTTGTGACCCAAATTAATCTTATGTCATTTGTTAAGAAGATTTGGAATGTGATAATATTCAAAGAGCGCTGCGGGGAGGCAGTAGCTACGGTAGGCTTACTTGACTTCCAAGTGCCAGAAGCACCCTCTGGATTGTCTGATGCCACTTTGTCTGTTTTCAGTTTTATAAATGCTACCTGTTGTCCTTTTAACTTCGCAGGCATTTCAGCTGGGCCCTACAGAAGCGTCTTACTACTGGGTCTATTGGGTACCTACTCAATATGTTGATGCAATCAAAGACACGGTGCTGGGGAAATGGCAGTATTTTTGAAAGCACGCTCACCTCTGGCACAGGAGACTGACACAAAACTAAGGACACTGCTGGGAGAGGCCTCCAACGTCCCTGGATGTGATAATCCTGGAACTTATTAATAAAATGTGATCTATCGAGGCATTGACGGAAGCCAGAGGTGATGTTCTTTCACCATTAGTTTACTTTTAACTTAAAAATTTCAGCATCCCTTTTCTGCAGTCAGCTTCAACCGTATTTAAAGCAAATACAGTGGAAATCAATAAATCTTAATTCACAACATATTGTGTGTAATACACTTAAATCTGCTGAGAGTAGATCTTCCAATTTAGTTTTTGAAAGGAAATATTACAATGTACTGTTGAGGATTTTTTACATCATTTGAACAAAAACTATTTTCATAATCTTTCAGTTACAAGCATTAGACTCTACTTACTTGGTTGTGACTGTTTGAGAAACAGGTTTTTGGGGTTTTTGTTGTTTTGTTTTTTTAAAATAAACTTTAACTAGTATGCAAACTCGGGGTTTAGTAAGCCATATTCTGCTGGCCCTTTTATTTCAGATTTGCCTTTTTTTGGTAGCAACATTCTGAAGTTTTGTTGTTGTTTTTGTTGGTTGTTTTTTTTTTTTAACCCAAAGATGCCCTGCTTCTGCTTTTTTCCGCTAGCAGCTCTGGCTTTATATGTGCAGTGTTTGTATGTGGGGAGCAGGAAGATGCCACTGTGGACTTTCTGTAGCCAAGACGGCCCAGTGCTGCTTATTGTCCCATTTCATGCTGTTTTCAGCCATTCTGTGTTGCCTGCGTACCCCTCTGCCCCTTTTCTGCCTCCTGCGGGGAGATGCTGTTTTTAGGAGCCTCTCTGCCTTGTATGTTGTTGTCCAGAATCATTTTGCAGGCATGTTGTCAACACTAATCTATGTGAAAATAAATCGGTTCACAACCAGCCAATCTGGAATATAACCTGCTAAACTTTTGGAGCCAGTGCACTGCAGTAATGACCAAGATGATGCTACTGAAGGAGGTGAACCAAAGGCACCTTCCTATTAGTTGTTGGGATTATGTGGCCAAGATGCCACTTTTTCGAGATGCAGCATAACTGAGTAGTCCTGTACAATCTGGATTTGCAGAGTACTAGTTCTTTGTATCAGCAGTGCTTGTGAAGTTTGGGATACGTGCCCAAAAACTGATCCCTGTCTCTGAAGGGTAAAGATGACACGGTTACATTTCAGCTGATATTTCATCAAGTTTTCAGCAGATTCCATTGGCTCTCTAGCCTCTTTCTATCTGAAATAATGTTCCTGGTCTATGGCTTGTGACATTTTGCCTGTCAGCTCTGCAATTGAAGTGCCATTTATCTCAGGTTTTCTGAATGGACCTTTCAGTCCTGAAAAAAGGTGCACGCCCTTAATAGACTGTATTGCATGGTAAGGCTGAATTAAGTCTTGCTGTGCTTTAAACCTGCATAGAACAGATCACTATTGTGGGTTTTTATCTCCAGCTTTTTTTAAACACTGTATACTTAATATTGTGTGTTTATATGTAGCTCAAAGTTTGGTCAGAAACATCCCTCTTTATAAAAGTCTAATTTAACTTACTCTCTGTCTGTATTTAATTTTTTTGACATATTTCTGTTGAAACTCAGCAGATGCAAACTGCTTCTAAATGAGCATTTTTTACATATATGCTGGAGAAGGGGGGGTCAGTCATGGGATGAGTGGTTTTTCTTAAAAGTGGCTGTTGAAAATGTATTTGGGTTAAGGTTCTCTACCTGCCTACGTGGTTTTGGCAGCAACATAATGTGGTTCTGGTTTGTCTTTCCAGTTCAAATCTCTGTGCAATATGAGTCTATTTCAAAGGGGTTTCACATCCCCACCGGTAACCTGGTGATATGCTTGTTGTTCTTGTAGCTTGAGCTGCTTTTATTCTGTACGCAAACCAAGAGTGGCAGGTCTTGCCATGTAGTATTTGCAGTATAACGGGGATTGTCCTGGCATCATACCGTGATGTTTGCCTAGGACTATGCTGCTGAAAGCTGTTAGCAAGTGCAGAAATGCAAGTAGCGGAATAGCTGTACGTTCTGGTTTTTTGGGGGGTGTCTGTAAAACTTCACTGCAATCATCACTATTTTTCTAATTGCTAATTTTAGGTTTAAGGCTAAAGCACAGATATGAAGGAACGGGCACAGCTGAATCTCCACTAGGCACTGCTGTGTTACACACCCGTGCAAAAGGCAGTGACGTGGAGCATTCTCTGGTGCTTGGGTTCACCATTATTCTTGCCCAGTTTAACTACTTCAGTTGTTGTTGACTTCTGTTCACCACTTCACTTACCTTGCATTTGTCTAAAAACCCATTCAGTCTCCGTCTCCCTCCTGTTCTTTCAGTAGCCTTCTACTTGAAAGGTCCGCTGTCCTCCACCGTGTTACTGCAGCTCTTCCCACATGTTCCAGGGAGCTCTACGTTCAGATGCAGTCATGAGGCTGAGCACGCTCTGCCACCAGTGTTTGTCACTTATTCTGGGGTAGGGTATGTACCTGGGGACATTGCTTCCAAGACTGTGAGGGCAGCTGGGGTCCCGTATACAGTGTAGGATTTAATGTCCCTTCTGTGTTTCTTCCCTGAAGGCAAAATAACTACATTCGGTGCTATGTACAATAGGTCTTGGATATTTCAAGGGACACTTAAAAGCCTGTGTTGCCATCCAGATTGTGTACCCATATTTCCCACCACCTTAGATTATTACAAATAATGACAAATTTTGAATTCAGACTTTCTTGTTCCTGTCCACATACTTCATTGTCTCGTGACTTTCACCTGATTTGGAAAACAAAGCTCAGTTCATCTTCAGGGTCTAGATGCAGTGTTTAGGCTGGAGTACACCAGGACGGATATTGGTCTAGTATGTTTTCATTTGCTGTTCAGGGTTTGGTTGTGCATATCTTTTTTTGAGTTTTATGAAAGTTTGTTCTTAAACTGGACTCAAAGCTCTAGCTTTAAAGTTGACAGCATCCCTTCAAGATGTCTCTGTCTATTTTTAGAATGACACGAAACTTTTTTTACTTCTACTTTTAAGAGAGTCCTTAAAATGACCCATGCTCATAAAAGCCTAGATGACACAATAACACTCTTGTACATACTGCAGCTTGCCGAGTCCCAGAGCCATTTATTGTCCTGCAGTTTTTACGCTCAATTTCCCTTTTGTAGCTATGGGGATTTCTGTGTTGGATCCAGGATATCAAATGGTCACGTGGGCAGTGATGGAGTGAGGCTGTTTTATACAGTAAATGTTTGAGTAAAGAACTAATAAAATCTTTATTTATTGGGTTGAATAAGATTGCTAATAAGATGGCTTATGTTATCTGTGCCACTTTATCCGTCCAGAGAGATGTTACCAAGTCTTCAACAAGGCTCACAAGAAAGGCAAAAGGTTGAGCTGCTTGAGTTATATGCATGGAAGCCTTTATAGAGGGGATCTGTTTTTCCTGTTTGCTGTGTATGTTATACCTACCATCTTAATGGGTGGTGTGCCCCCAAATTTAGTAGAGTATGGTCTTTTCCCCCTTCCTCTGGGTTGTTGACTAGTATCCAAAGTGTCTGGAATGCAGGCAAGGACTTTCTGGTTTGTTGGTTTGTTGTGAAGGAATAAAGAAAGCTTTTCCATGCATACGGATCCTAGATTCTTCTGATGTGCCATCTAGTGCCTCCTTTCTAGTAGCTATCCTAGGTGCCAGTACCTCCTCAACGTCCGCTACCCCAGCTCCTCTGTGGAGGAGGAATCCTGCTCTACTCCATGAACTCCTTGCTGCTACTGGTGCTAACAGCCCCTGGTGCAGGAGCTGGCCACTCATCTCTGTCACTTCCCTCATCTTTCTTGGCCTGGCATTTCTCTGCTCGTTCTACATCTCCTGTCTCCATAGCCATCTGCGCATCCTGAGCATTCACATTTTCCCAATGCTTTCTTTTCCTCATGAATGCAAAGGCATAGTCTTAAGTCTTCTCTGGGCTTGACCATCAGCAGCACCAGCTCTCATGTTCAGTCTTCCTTGTAGGAAAATCCTGTATTACTGGCATATTTCCCACGTGAAGCTGAACCTTAAAGTGAATCATGCATTTTCTTAGCAACTATAGAAATGTCTTAGAGAGATTTTTATTACTGGAATAAAGATGTTCTTGGTAAGAGTGATAACGTGAGCAGTAGGGCAAAGTCATGGAGAAGGGGAAAGGTAGTTTTGGGGAAAGGATTAGGTAAGAACCTGACGACATGCTGCATTCTGCAACTGGCAGCAGGGGGACAGTTGCATTTACACAGATTCGTAGCCATCATTTCATGTTCTAATGGCCAAAGAGAGAGCGTTCATTTGCAAGGCCATTATATCCGAAGTGCCATATTTTGCTGGGTTGTCCTTCCAAGTCCTTTCTGCCTTCCTTTCCTGGCACCAGCATTGCCCCAGAATCCTTGGTGATGCAGCTCCCGGGGCACGGGCATCTTTTCTCCAGAACACGTGCTCAGTCTCCCTACTTGATTTGCTTTGTGCGCCAGCTCAGCGGTGCAAAGTTTGTTTTAAAACTCTCCTTCCACTGCTTACTGCTTGTTCTCTCGGGGTTACTCTCCTTCCCCAAGGAACCTGTTTTCATTTCCTCCAGCCTTTCACCTTCTCTTATCATTTGATCTTTTATTTTGTTTTGAGGGTTATTGTCCAGGTCACTTGAGGGGCAGGCTGGGAGGCCTGTCATCAAGCTACCTAGAACATGTAGTTATTTTACCTTCCAGCAAAGTATTTTCCTTATGTGACTCAAAGCAATTTAGTACATCTTATTCACACTTCAATCCATTCATTCTTTTAACAAGTCGTAGACCACCTGTAAGATTTCACCACAGAATTATTTTAATGGCACATGTAAGTACCATGGTTATGGTATTTTTAAAAAATAATCTATTGCCTATTTTGGGGGAGGGGGAGATGACAAATATTTAGTCTTAGATTTGCACTGCTGGATTTTTTTAAGTGTAACCTTGACTGGTTATCCTGTTGTTTTATTCTGTAAGATTAGTCTTACGAATTAAAGTTTGATAATTAAGCATGTCTGTGTTTGAGTGATTTGGACCTTGTACACGCATGAAGCTATTCTTGTAGAAACTTGGCATTCAAAATTTTCTCTCTTTCAGAGAATATCGCTAGTTGGGATGACAAGTAGTTAGAATTCCAGTGTTACCTGGTAGCACTGCTGCACTCCAGTGTTGATGCCTGTGTTAGATGCCTTCGTCCAAACATGAACCTATATAATTTTCCCTTGCGCTGTTTCAAGCCAAAAGATGGTAATTTGGGGCCATTATGTCTCCATGCCTCTCTCTAAAACTGAGGCTAGATTTTGTTCTAACTGAGAACATGTGCCTGTTAGGATTTCAAATGCGCGCGCAGAGACACACACACACACACACACACACACACACACCCCCCCTCAGATAGGGGCATGCTTTTTATAATGGTGTCAGACATCCCACTCTAACTTCCCAGCCCACAAAAACAGATCCTCAAGAAAAGTGCAACTAAATAGACAGCACTTGTAATTTATTCTCCATTGGTCTGACACCTAGCGCAGCTCATTCCCAGTTCCTAGCTGCCTTCATCACTTATCTGTACTTCAATTTCTCCATCTGCAGAATTTAGATTAGCTGTCTCCCAGCATGGTGGTTGAATAGTACTATAATTGCATAACAAGCACGCACGTGTGCACGCACGCACACACTTTGAAGCTTATTTCCTATCATGTTAGAAATTCTGGAAATGAAGTCCAATTTCTATATCAGGTTTGGAAAACAAAAAGAGCATTTTGGAGAAAAATGTAACGGCGTCTGGGAATTAGCAGGACCTCCTTGAAAATCCTATTCAATGTGAAGTCTTTCTAACCAAGACATGTTCATGCTATGATTTATTTTTAAATGAGACTAAAGACCACCTATAGTTGGTTGGTGTATAAGACTGCAGTCTGAGAGTGCACTAAAGGGTCTCTGTTTTCTTCTTGCAAGGTTGAATTCCACAGGAAGTCATAGATTCATAGACCCAGGGCTGGAAGGGACCTCGGAAGATCAGCGAGTCCAGCCCCCCGCCCCAGGGGTGGGAAGTCAGCTGGGGTCAAAGGATCCCAGCAAGATAAACATCCAAATGTCTCTTGAAGGCGTTCAAAGTAGGTGCTTGAACCACCTCCGGTGGCAGGCTGTTCCAGACCTCGGTGGCTCAGACAGTAAAGAAATTCTTCCTTATGTCCAGCCTGAATCAGTCACAGCGGAGTTTGTGACCGTTTGACCTTGTCATCCCTTATGGCGCTCTGGTGAACAGACATTCCCCCAGGTACTGGTGGTCACCCCTGATAAACTTATAGGTGGCCACCAGATTGCCCCTGAGCCTGCGCTTTTCCAGGCTGAAGAGTCCCAGGGCTCTCAGCCTGTTGTCGTAAGGTCTATTTTCCTGACCTCTGATCATGTGCGTGGCTCTCCTCTGCACACTCTCAAGCTTCTCCACGTCCTTTGTGAATTGTGGAGCCCAAAACTGGACACAGTACTCCAGCTGCGGCCTCACCGAGGCTGAGTACAGCGGGAGAATGACGTCCCGGGATTTGCTTGAGAAGCAGCTATGGATGCAAGCCAGTGGTTTGCTCGCTTTACTAGCCGCCGCATCGCACTGAAGGCTCATGCTCAAGTCAGGCTGTGCTGGTGCAATTCATACCCACCTGGGTATGAAGTAGGAGAGGGAAAAGCAGCAGTCCATTATGTGCAGACTCAGGGTGTTATAGCCATTGAGAAACTGGCTGCACCAGCCGGGCAGGCGGGCGCAGGTTTGCTGTGCCGTTCTGGAAGGTGTCTACCCGCGAGTTGTCAGGAATGTGGCTGAGGCAATAACTAGCCCTCAGAGAATGGGGGTCTGAGACTGCTGGGCTTGCACGTGGCTATGGGTCAGCCCCAGAGGAGCCAGAGAAGGTTAGCCGCAGCAAGGACAATTGCAGACAGGTTCGTGGACCTCAGCAAGGGAAGCTCTAGCACACATGCTGAGCAGATACTCATTTACATGCATGAGTAAACTGGCAGTGCCATCACAGAGAGAGAGGGCCTTGCTGTTGTGGGGAAGCTACCAGTCCTTTTGGGCTGTGGCTAATGAAGCTGTCCCAGACAACAGGGGTCTGCTGTTAGGCGGTGGGGTCTGCACTGGGAAGCCTCGAGGCCAAGTGGTGCTGCCAGCAACATGATTTGGATGCAAATGCTGTGAACACCGGAGGGACGATCGTGGCCTGCTGTCCCCTGCATGAGGCCTGTGAAGCCAGAAGTGAATGTTTTTACACGGTTTCATCACGGAGCCTGGAGCCTGTGGCCACGGTGCACAGCTGGAAAACTTCCTGTAAAGAACAGGCCCGGGATCAAGGCAGGTAAGGGATGCCAGATGTGTTCGTGTCTGTGCCTGTTGCGGAGAGTCTCCCGAGTGGTGCTGTGCTGTGCTGTTCTGTGGGGTGAGATACCACGAGACGTTACGACTGGCGTGCGGCGACCGCTGTGTTTAGCTCCTGGGGATGGGACTGCTGATGACGTTGTGCCCCATTAGCTTTATGGATTGCTTTGGGTAAGGGTTGGTTTTACTTGCTGAATACGGTATCAGCTTAACTGTAACTCCGCTTACTAGTTCGGAGACCTGCCCTTTCACTAGTCACTGCTTGCTACTTATAACAAAACCTTTTGGCACAGCTGCAGCTTCCTCCTTCCTCTCAGTTTTATACAGTGCTTCACAAAGATGTATTTGGTAGCCGTGTTTGTCTGAGACAAAAAGAAATGCAAAAATCTAGACTTCTTGGTTCAGAGATGATGATACTAAAAGGTATCATCTCTGAACCAAGTGCTTCACCAGCATTTATTAGCTGTACCCATCTCTGCAAAGGAAACAGAACAGCATGGTCAGACCTGCTGCCTGCCAACAAGTGAATGTGCTGTAACTCCTCGTGGTGCAAAGAAACTGAAGCATTTAAAACAACGCAGGGCTCAGGGTAGTGGCACCTGGTGCGGTGCTGAGCAGGCGCTGAGCACGCCAGAGCTGTTTGCCCCGTGCAGTGGCTTGAGCTGCTGGAGGCCAGGGAGCCACGAGC